CTGTCCATCTTCCACCACCATCTGGATTATAAGTATTAACTTATATCTAGTAAAGCTTGGGTGGCAAGTTCCTGCCTCTGGACTAAGGAGGAACTTTTAGTGATGTTTTATAGACTTGTGGACCAAGCTTAGTTCTCTAGACATAGCTCCCCATCAGATTTAAGACTCTTCCCTGCACTCACCATCACCCTTCCACCTCTAACATGTTTTTGAAGACACAATGACGTAAAAATTCAGTTCAGCAGTTAAGTTGCCATGTTCATTACACTGTCCATGCTACTCCTCCATTTTGAACATATCTTGGATGCAAGCTTCCAATCCATTCATAAAATGGGAAGACACTTTTCATGCCAGATATTTGCCACCAGCACTATCTGTGCATCCTCCCAAGGTGCCTAATGTGTCTTGAGACCAGTATGTTAACTCACATGAGTTAACATACTGCTTGTTAAAAATCACTTGGTGGTCAGGTATTGTGGGAGACCAGTAACTAAATGGACTGAGAAGAAACCTTGACGTGAGCATGGTCATATCAAGTCCTTTGTGCTGAGAAGGAAAGACCCCAGCAAGAAGGCAGTGAGCAAGGTTCAGCAAGGCTGCCTTGCAAGAGGGGAGGCTGAGGCAGTGGAAATAGACCTTGACATGAGCACAGCTCTGTCAAGGGCCTCTTGGCTGATAGACATGAACCCAACCAAGGGGAGGCAAGATTCAGCAAGGCTGCCTTGCAAGAAAAACAGGACATGCTGACCAAGTCAGGATAGTCTGAACTAAATAACAACATACCACAGCTGCTCTGTTCCTGCCACCCACGCGACTAAGCCCACAAAAACTCGACTTGTATTTCACCCCACTTTCTCACACATACTGTATAAATAAATGCGCTTGTAGGCAGAGGTGGCCCCAGCTTTTCTCTACGTCTGTCTGTGTTTTTTCTTAAATCCCTGGCCGCTCCCAGTCAAGTCATGAGACCTGCTCACGCTGGCTGTGAGAAGGTAAGGTGGTCCATGACTGCAATACCAGTTACATAGGAAGCAGAGACTGGAAGGACTGCACTTCACAGACAAACTCGTTAACAAGACCCCCATCTCAGTAAAGATGCCCAGGTGCATCTTTACTACAAAGAGGCACAGGTGGGACCGCGGTCATGCACATAAAAGTTAGTACAATGCCTAGAACCTAGTAAGCACTCAGTAGATGACAGCCATTGTTATTGTGGATTAAGTTTTACATGGAAAGGAAGAAAGGAGTCTAAAAGCTAGGGCTGGAAAGAGGAATACTTCTTCCAATTAGGTAGGAAAGAATGGGTACATGGATATGGATTGCAGATTAAAAACCCTGCCCCATTCTCCTTAGCAATACTTAACTGTGTAGGTCAGGAATAACCTAGAAATATGTTATAAAATCGCATTATGTGGTACCCATCTGAAATTACGTAATTTATATATATATATAAAAATAAAAATATATATATATAATGTACATATCTACACAGACACACAAAATGACTCATTTAATAGTGAAAACTCATTGTTATTTGTATTCCAAGCCATTAGACAAAATTTCTTTTTTAAAAACATTTGGTATCAAGTGTCATTACCTTTCAATTGTGTCCAAAGACCTTTTAGTGTTCCAGTGTAAGGAGGACAAAACAAGTGTCCCACTGTAAGTTTAAAACAACCTTAAAATGAATGGTTTATAGTAAAAATTAATGAAAATTTGCTCAATGCACTACCATGTATTAAAAAAAATGTTTATCCTTAACATAAAAATTGCTGGTTGAGGAACATAGGCTATGCTCCTCACATATCCCTGGCACACTGCTAAAAGTCTTTAATTTGGAATAAATCATTTTTTTTAATGTCTGGACCAAGTAACAACAATAGTTTACTACAATTACTTACCTCTTCTAATTATTTTAAGTTAAAACTTACAAAATATTGTGAGGTCATCACATAAAATGATTTGTCAACTGGGTTATTTTTCATCAATCAAAATGGTGCTTATGCATTAGATATTTAAGAAACAAAAGAGCCTTGCTGGTTCACCCACAGTTTCCAATTTTGAATCTGCTTTGGTCTAAGTAATGAGTATTAACAAATATAAATTACTTTATCAAAAGAATGTAGCTCAAAACAATTGCTTAGATTTCAGTTTCATATTTTATTTCTATATATTATAAACAGCAACTAGGGAAGATACTTCAAAAAGGTGATACTTTAAGTCTTCTCAGCTTTTCTTTAAGCTGCTTTTGGTAATGGGTCTAGTTTTCTGACTTTATAGTTATTAATGATATGCATAAATTCTTTTGTTCATCAGAACTTCTATAAGTTTCATTGGTGATGAATCTCCAATTTGTTTAGATGTAATTAATGGAGAAATGAATGAAATATTCAGTCATACTGGAATCATGATGGGGTTTTAACCCCCAGAAACAAAGTTTTTGGTGACATCAGCTATGAATTCATCCAAACCTGTGGGAGACAAGCTTTCCATCCCTCATCTTAACACTTATTACTCTTTTAACTTCAACTGTGACATTAGTTTTCCTTTGCCTTGCGTAATGAGAATCTTGAAATTATATCCATTTAAATCAAATGATAAAGAATGTAATTTATAATCAAATTATTCCAATTTCTCCTTAGGATTATAAATTCATTTGGTCAAAAATATTAAATGCTTGTTATTATGGCCAAAGCACTCTTCTGGGTAATTGTGTACAGAAATCCCAAGATGTATAAGCCTCTACCTAAAAGAAATAACAATCTGCTTCCAATAGAGATATTCAAAACTACAGACAAATCTAACTCCTCTGAGCATTTACTCTCAAATATATCTAATTACATTCTTTAAATTAAACTATTTCCTTCTGGCACACATAATATTAACTACATCACCTGTGGAAAGGTAAAGTAGAACATTACTTGAAGAGACTATGCTCTCAACACTATTGAATACATATTAAAAACAGTACCCCAAACAGCAAACATATGTGAAGCCAAATATTACAAATGAAATATGATTACAGAGTCTAAAGATTTTACTCATAGGTCCACCCACTAATGCATTAATTAGTATTTTAATGTATTTTAATCAGTAATGCAACATTTAAAGCACAGAACTTATAAAAAGCAATGGTTATTTTTAAAAAACCTGAAATTTTCTTTTCCATAGATTTTCAAATTTACTAAGACCAAAATGGAACTCAATGCAAAGATAAATCCAACTTTCCCAGGCAGAGTTTAGACCACAGCTAGGAAAAAAAAAATTTGTTCTATTTTGTTTTCTTCTTCTGAGACACAGTCTCACCATGCAGCCCAGACTGGCCTTGAACCTATGATCATACTTGCCCCCCATCTAGAGTGCTGTCAAAACATAATTTTTGAATGAAGTAGCATAACTGAAAATTCATGGGTAGAGAAGCAACATGTCTCCTTAATTTATCATACAAAGGTCTATACTTTTAAAAAGATGTTTTCAGAGGCTAGTATGTTATAATTTTAGCAAGATATCATAAAAGGAAACAAATACGATAAATTATGTTGAAAATATCGTATTATCTTTTTAGTGCAGTAGTAAAGTTTTGCCTTAAAATCTTTCACTCCAAGTGACTACTTTGTAAATACATGGCCTATAAAATGATAATATTGGCAAATTAGTCTCAATTTCTGGATCTACTTTTTTAAATTTTAGGTAAAAATAACCAATTACTGGATCCTTCTTATATTTCTTTTCTATTCTGTGACATTAGTTATTATTTTAAAATGGGAAGCTTTAATATGGGATAACATCACAAAGAGTCACTTACAGGTTTTACTTGTTTATGTAGGAAAATTCAAAGTGGTTTATCTACAGCTTTTTAGTAAATAAGTGGGGCCAAGTCACATTTTTAGCTCAATGACTTTTCAGATTGTAATTTTACAGTCAAAAAAAAAAAAAAGAGCTTTATAGCTGTAAAATTGTCTGCTACCATGTAAGTGTAATTTTAGTACTATCTTAATTATACTACTTCATAAAGAATGCAGAATATACTTTTACATTTAGCTTTCTGAGAATGAAGACATGCTTTAAAGCTAATTTGCTTGCTACTGACTGAAAAATTTAAAAGGATATTTTACTTAAAATTAATGGTTTTTTGAAGCCATAAACTAAATAATAAACATGGCAATTCTAGTATATTAATTCTGAACAGAAAACTACACTATTTCATTTGAATGAAATGTAAACACTTAGCAAAATACGGGAAACTTTCAAATCAACTTGCCACCAAACGTGAACTCTAAAATGTGGGGTTTTTTTTAATTTTGTAACTTCCACTTTTAGTAAAATATTCAGTAACTTAATGCGTATTAAATGAAAATTTAACTTAACAAAATTTCATTCAAAGCATTAGGAAAACCATATTCTAAACATAAAAATAATCATACTCTAAAAATGCTGCATAGATAGTGGTACATAAGTTCCCTGACACTAAGTGACTTCTTCCTAACTAAAACTTCAATTTTCAAGTCACCAACAGAAAATTGTAGAGGCATTATTTCCTCTCTTGGAAGTTGGTAAAATGGCTTCAATGGTGAGAATGAGAAGTCACATCATTTGAACAACAAAGATTAGATTCATCTCCCAGTCTAGTTACATTCTCCTCTTACTGCTTCTCAAAGATGAAGATTTAGAATGTAAGGATTACTGGAAGGGAACAAGAAGTAAATTATCTCTTAGGAGATAGCCTGATCAGTGCCTGCCTTACTCTGATAAAACACTAAATTAAGTTTTAAAAATTACAACAACAACATTATGGTTAACCAAAACTACCAATATGAATACTTTTTTACATAATACATTATAGGTATGACCTGTTTCCTATCCTTTGACTTTCAATAGGAAAAAAAAAATGTTATCACAAATGGATTCTGAAAAATTAATGAAGTCAAAATCTTTTCTCAATACTTCAAAGAGATTGAATTAATCAGTGACAAATTACTAAATTTCTTTTATAAGAGTACGTTTTGAACAGAGAGGCAATTTACTTGGAAGAATTGGTAGCTACACTCTTCATTAAGAAAGCATTTAGTTACCCTGAGAAAGACTCTTGAAATATCAGTGCTTTCAGAGGCTCTCACCAATGCATGAAAGAACAACTTATAGGCTCTAGCCTCTTTTGTTACCTGTGTAAAGAATGTTCCGTTCTAAAACACAATTTGGGCTTCTCTGCTATACTGGTAACAGGTCACAATCAAAACAACTGAATGCGATGGAGTATAAGGAAATTTTGTTTTCATTATTAGCAAACCTCTTCCTTTTCCAGGAAGAGTTCATAAATGGTCTTGGAGTCAAACCGACTATTCACAAAAAAGAATCTTCTGTCAGTATGTTGGTAGTTTTCTTAAAGTAACACACAAATTTGTCTGGTCTACATTTTCTAACATACGCCTAGAAAATAAGGCATTCATAATTCTTCACTGGCCATTGCAGAGCACAGACAACCGTTTTCTTTTTAATCAGGCAAAATGCAAACATTCCTGAAAGTACACTGTTATTTTTAACATCCTTATGCATTTGCAAAGTCAGCATTTATGACTCCCTGCATACTTTTAGTATAAAATGTTTATTCCCAATACCTTACATATCCCATAATTACTTGCGAAAAGACAAAGTGAGAGCTGCTACAGAAGTAGCATGGTATCTTCCATGAATAAAAATACAGCATACAAAAAATGGCAAGTTAGTGATAATTGGTAATATGAACTCTCAAAAACATCTCCCCCGTGGGGTCCAAGTTAAGATTTGACAAGCTTAAAACCTTGTCCTGTGTCCAGCACAGTAGGAAGAAACCAACTCATTTTCAATCTTTTCAGACACCTAAAACAAGTTTTGCAGATCCAAAAAAGATTTAGACCACATAACCAATTTGCCAGATGCACTAGTGGGTATGTAATACGAGGAAAGTGTAACATCCAGTGCTTGGCCACATCATTTCCTGTTGGCAAGTGCAGAGTGTAGTCACTCCACCGTTTTGAAACACCATATACTGCTCTCACTGTGCGGCCCTTTTCCGTCCAGCAGATGCTATTACTGGAGTTGCAGTTGTATTCTACCCAGTCTTTTGTAAAGTCACCCAACTGTGGAGGGTCAGCCTCTTCAATATCTACCGTCTTTGCCAGCTCTGCTCCTTGCACTGCAATGTATTGGTCATTAATCTTTCTCACTTCTTTCACCCAAGGAATTGAATTCTCACTATCTAATATGATAATAAGCCGTGAACAGAAGGAACCATTCTTTTCTCTCCACCATTCTAAAAGTGTGTCAAGGCGAAGTATGTCTCCACCTGTGGACAAGAAAAAATTCAATTGAGCAATAATTTCTGAAGCCTCTCATTTCTTTGAATTCATAGAATTAAATATGTAAGTAACAAAGCAGATGAAAATATTTGAAAGATACTTTCAAAGTGTCCTTTCAGAAGATTTTTTAAAAACACATTTTTAACTCAAAAGTTAAATACTTACATGAAAAAGAAATATGCTATGATAATGTTACTGTGATTCACAGTAAGAAGAATTTCAAGGAACGTGACAAAAATGGAAAGACTCACAAATCAGTTTTAGCAAGTCTTACAATGATAATTTGTAAAAATTGTTATATATATTAATTATATATATATATACATAAATGCAATATATATACATATATTCCTTGATTTACAATAGGATTGTATTCTGATAAAGTCACTCTAAGTTGAAAATATTGTAAATTAAAATGCATTTAATACCTCACTTGCTGTACATCACAGCTTAGTAAAGCATTGGTTATCAACAACTGTGACTGATAAGCTATTTAGGAACTGCCGGTGGCTGTCACTCCCCAGCATCTCTAGAGATCATCATACTACACATTGCTAGTCTGATGAAAAATCAAAACTCGAAGTATGTTTTCTATTGATTGCACAGGACTTTTGTACTTTGTAAAGTTAAAAAATTATTATGTTGAACAGTACTGTAAGTTGGAGACTATAGTTAAATTTAGTAAAAAAAATTAATTAATTAAAACTATATAGAAAAGAAAATATTCTACACCAGGGTAGCAAACTATAGCTCATGTGGACCAAGTCCAGCTTGCCACCTGTTTTTTTATATGATCCAAGAGCTAAGACTTGATTTTATGCTTTTACATAGTTGAAAGAATATGACACATGGAAATTACAGGAAGTTTAAATTTCACATAATTATTCCCATAAATAACATTTTATTATTTTTGAAGCAATAAACTAATAATTTTAAAACATGGCTTTTCTAGTACATTAATTATTTCTCCACAGAAAAATCATGAAACACTACACATTGAATGATGCCAATGTAAATACTTGGCCAAATACTAGAAACTATTAAATCAACATGCCACCACACAGGCATCTAAAACACAGGCGTTTTTACAGGCACACTTACTCAGTCATGTTCTGACTGTGGCTGCTTTTGTGCTACACTGGCAAAGCTGAGCGACAGAGATCTGCCACCCTAATGTAAAGGCCCCAAAATTTCTGGCTCCATCCAGAAAAAGTTTGCTGACCCATGTTCTCTATTACTGATAAACCAATGTTTCCTTATCTTCATGTTTCTCAAGAAACACCATTAACACTAGCTCTGATAAAGTACGGTCACTAGTATATATTTTACAGTAGGTACAAGATATTTTGTATTCAGAGTTATGATACAGTACAGTCCTATATCTGTAATACCAGAGGCATTGCTCTTTTTTGCTCAGGATTGCTTTGACTACTGGAGGTCTTCTGTGCTTCCGTGTAAATTTTAAGATTGTTTTTTCTAGCTCTGTGAAGAATGTCTTTGGCATTTTGGTGAAGACTGCACTGAATATGAGATCACTTTTGGCAGTATGGTGGCCATAATATTAATATTTATTCTCCTAATCTATGAACACTGGCAGTTTTTCCATCTTCTTGCACCTTTTTTCAATTTCTTTCTTTAGTGTTTATAATTTTCATGGTAGAGGTCTTTCCCTTCCTTAATGTTTATTCTCAGGTTTCTGTTTTGTTTTCTGAGGCAAATGTGAATGAGATTACTTTGCTGATTTGTTACCAAGTTTATTATTGGTATATAAAAAGTCATTCATTTTTGTATGTTGATTTTGAATCCTGCTATGTTACTGAGTTTGTCAGTTCTAAGAGTCTTTGAGTGGAGTCTTTAGGGTTTTCCATGTATAGAAGATGACTGAATTTTATGCCACTTCCTTCTGAAGTGTCTAAAGCAATGTGTCTGAAGCAATGGCTGTCCTCATGTCACCCTAGTCCTGGGTGTGTCTCAATGATAACTCAGACAGAATCATTCAAATTCTAGGAATCTATCTTAGGTAAAGAACGTAGTGGGGACAAATAGATTACGTATAAAGATCTTCCCACCACAGTTTAAGGTAGTATAAAATCTGAAAAGGGGAGAATAGAAATATAGTATAATCTCAAGAGAATTTCATAATAAATACATAAATTTTTACAATGAGAAAACAGGTGTGATAATATGAGGAAAAAGCATCACAGAAGCTTATACACAAAAACTATTTAGTACTACTGCTGGGTATTTAGATTTGTTGGCTTTTAGAATACTTTTCAGTATTTTCTACAATTTTTACATTAAGTATGTTACTTTTATAATTCGTTTTAATATGCCAAAATTTATTAGCAAAAAATCCAACACAGTAATTTTAGAATATATATTTCTACCAAGAGCAGCCATCCTCTTTGCTAAACTGTGACAATAATACCTACAGAGTAGTGGATGAGCTTTTCTAATTTGGGTTTCTATTAGAAATATGACCTTAGAAGTCAGGCTATATCATACTCTTTATGTACAATAATTAAAATTCTTATATTCTTTAGCATGGTACAGCATACAGTCTGAAAATTAAACATATGTTTTTATGCATTGCTCTAACACTCATGCATATTATCTCAGATACACTCTTTCAATACATGGTCTCCACAAATTAATGTGTTGCTTTACCAATATCTCCAGAAGATACCACTTTTCTAAAAGTGGCCAGCTATTAACTTTTCATCATTTGTAGCTTGTTAGATTTCTCTAGAGATCAGAAGATGAAATAGATTACAAGAGTTATTACACAAATTCCATCTGCCCCAAAATATCATTGTGCAACACGATATCCACTATTTCAATATTCATTAGCACATTTACCCTTATTCTCTTATATAAATGTTCTTTAAACATCAACAAGAGACTTAAGGCAAGCCTTAAAGCCTTCTAAATTATTTCTCTTCCCTTGCTTTGTTTTGCTGTGCTTTCTTGTATGAGTAGGTTCTATTCTGCATTTGGCTTTTGGCTAATAGGCAAAGTACTTACATTTATCTCAGGTAACATTCATCTGATGCATTTGAAGCAATTGAGACTGCTTTTTAAAGGTTTTGTTTATCTGTGATAAACTGCCTTACAGATCATCTAAATTATTTCATTTATTTCTGTGTCTTATAATTCCCATAATTATTTTTTACCCTAAAGCAAAGAGGCAAATATGAAACTCCATAAATATAAGACCACCACATGTTTTGAGTTGTACTGTGTGTAAAAGTTTGGGATAAAAGGCAAATAAATTCTTTTCCACAGTAATACTTAGTTCTAGACCTGCTGCTAATGTGCTAATTCAAGTAAAATTCAGCCATGTTTTCTATTTCAAAGACTTCTAGAAAGATAACTATTGACAAATTATCTGAGTTTGAAGTTCTTTGTCACTTGGTTTGGAACAGAATAAAGCATTTTCCTCAGAACAGCATGTTCAATTCTATTTCCAGGAAGAATCAGCCCTAGAGGACAATGTCTAAGGTAGGTCTGTGCACATACTTCCTAAAGAGAGTTTCTAGTCCTGGCTCAATGTGGGTATAACTGCACATGAGCCAGGTGCCTAATGACAGGTGTGACAGTATGCAGCTGCTGAATTATGGGAAGAGAGAATTATAAGAGAATTATGCCAAGCTGTGCTTTCTCTATTTTTATTTTCTTTTTATAAAAAGCTCTGAAAAAGTTACATAAGTTCAAATCTTCCTGGCTAACAGAAGAATTCTATTATAATGTCAATTTATTGGTAGTACATTTCAAAAATTATAAAGCTATTCTAGAATGTGATGGCTAGATATTTACCAAAATTATAACTATTTTAGAATTAGATCTTCATTAGTTATTCTAACTCACCATGAATAAAATTTAAGAATACCAATTTGCATATTATTTACCTTGATGTCTTTTACTTTTCCTATGGAAAAAAAGCTATGCAAGCATTAGTAAACAAAGTGCCTAGAGACTATTTCCAAAGCCACATTTTAAAAATACTTGAATTTTAAAAATATTGAAGAAAACTGCAAACTTAACTAGCCTGGGTTACATAGCAAAACCTCATCTCAAAAAATGCATAAAAAATAATTTTTTAATAACTGAAATAACTATAGATATGTGAGTAACAAAATTGTGCCCCCTTTTCCATTTGATTTAGGAAGTTTATTACGGTAAGTGTTATGTCAAAATCCTTGCTTTGTTTGAAATTTTATTTCTATAAAGATTTTTTGAATTGATTAGAATGCTTTCTCTTGTGCTCTGAGTTAGAATGTATTGAATGTTATACTTTACCTGGAGCCAAAAAGGTTTAAAAAGTTGTTTTCTAAATTGTGATTTAAAAGTTACAAGTCAAGTAAATGGTTTTATAAACTATATTCAAGTAGTTTTACTGCTGAATACCTTCTTATATTTTCTACTTCTTGAAAATGGATTATCCATGTTAACAAAAACATGTCCTTAACCTGAACATGACACTTCTCTGTCATCACAGTGATTGCCCTTGGCAACAATATGGAACAGTGGGAGAAAAATAACACCTCAGGACAGGCAGACCTGGGCTTGAATCATGGTTTTGTCACATAGTGTCACTTAGTTTTATGTCATAACTACTTTCAGCTTCTCTTTCAACCTTAAGAAAAGTGAAGATAATAGAGATGATGGGATCTACCTCAAAGGATTTCATATGAAATTAAATCTAATACTGTTTGCAAAGTACTAACACAGTAGCTGATGCTTAAAATGTATCCAGTTAATGTTAGTTTGCCTTTATCCTAGATAGTCATTGAATTACTTAATATTTATTTGCAGAAAATATTTTTAAAAGACTTTTATGATTAAAACCAGTTATAAATCTGGCATAAAATTAATGAGACCATACTAGCTTAAAAATCATCTCTACTTTAACCTTGAGTTGATTTGTTTCTTTCTGGAGTTCTAGTATTGGCAGTTCGCCTCTGTCCTTTCTATACTGTTTCTTTGACCTGAATTTATGTGTGTTAGTCAGGTATTGATGTGACAAAAATACCTAATAGAAACAACTTATGGAAGTATTTATTTACTTATGGTTCAGAAGTTTCAGGACATAATGGCAGGGAGGGTATGGTGGAACAGAGCAGCTCCCATCACGGCAATGAAGCAGCAGAGAGAGAAATGCCTGTGCTCACAGGTTGTCTTCTCCTTTACCCTCTTTTATTCCATCTAGGATCCCAGTGTATGGTATGCTGCCACTCACATGAGGGCAGATCTTCCACCATTAGCTAATTCTCTCTGGAAACGTCCTCACTGACACATCGAGAAGTGTACGTTCATAATCTTGTAGGCACTTGACAATCAATCAAGTTGACAATTAACATAAACCATCATAGCATGTTTCTACTTATATTTTATGACTATTTTACTTTCATATGTGTCATTAGTTTAAAACATCTAAAATCTTGTGTGGAAAAAGATATAATTAAATCTAAATGAACGAATTCTAATCTAAACTAAGAAAATTACCTTTATTTTTTCATGATTCATTCAATGATTTCATCTACCTATCAATTATTTAAGGATCCTCTACCATGTTATAGTCTCTGTTCTAGGTTCTAAGCATATAATTCATAAAACAAACCCGTTGACTGATAGGGTCGCTATTATAGCTGACAACCAAATTATCTATTATGTACAGAGATCTCGTTGCTCTCTATACATTCTCTCTCAGTAACTCCTAAAAAGTGTTTTCTTTTTCCTATAATGCAGGTTTTTTAACATAATGACATAAATAACCAAAATAACACTCAGAATTTTACACTTTTCAATGAAGCAATGCTCATTCAGTATCACCCCTGGTTTTACAATCAGAAACTTGAAACCAATAGAAGAACCTTGACTAAAATAAAACTATCATGGCAATCAGGACCAGAAATAAAGTCTGCTGATCAGCACTACTCCTGCTATGTCATAATGCCTGGTGTTTAAAATTCTGGTGAGCTATCTTTTTTTTTTTTTTTTTTTTTGTGGTATTAGGGCTTGAACTCAGAGCCTATACATTGAGCCACTCCACCAGCCCTTTTTGTGTAAGGTGTTTTTGAGATAGGGTCTCACGAACTAAAAATGTGACTGGGCTGGCTTCAAACAGTGATCCTCCTGATCTCTGCCTCCAGAGTAGCTAAGATTACAGGCATGAGCCACCAGCACCTGGCTCTGGTAAGCTTTCTAATATAAACTACATATATGAAGGACTACTGAAAACTGCATCTATAACATTTAAAGACTTAGAAGTACTAGTCAAAGTTTATTGGCTTCTGAAAAAAATGTACCTTCTGAAAAATGTAGCTACATTTTTTGAGACTTAAGTCTCAAATCAAGCAGATTTTTTCCCTCTAACTACTATAAAACATAATTTGCAAACCCTTACTTTACAGATTACTGAAATACTAAGTAGGTATTTAGAGAAAATCAAGAATGGCTACATATATTTGGTAAATTATTCAGTGGAAAATTTCGAGGTTTCATACCTCTGTGTGAACAACAGATTTTCACAAATAGGTGTACCTTCACAATAGGAAATTGACAAAGATGCATTTACCTGCTAGAGCCCACTCTCCTGAGCCATGAGTGTGTCCGCTGTAATACAAAACATATGTATCATGTCTAGGTCCATCCACAGTCCGAAGTTCAAGGAAAGATTTCAGTTTGGAATGTAGAGTATCAAAAGACAGTCCACTTGTGGAATAGTCACATCCATATGTCTCAATCATATGATATGCAAAAAATCTTTGGATTGCATTGAGCATACCAGTGGACCTTAAATTTAACTCCTGTACATGTTCTGGTGGAAGCAGTGTTGGCTGACCATCAGGACTAAAGAAGAAGAAAAGAATTATTCTGGTGTTCAGGAAGTATAATTCTATGTCATATTGTCATCTGTCATTTATAATTAATCTCAACACTTGCTAACTAAACGGCATGATTTTTAAGTCATCTTTTCTAAAATTTCTACAATGCTAATCAAAACCTGTTCTCTAAAAATTTTATTTCTTATCAATAAAACGATTAAACTAAAAGTTAGAAAAATATGTTCTAGTATAAATAGTACTTATCTTTGCTTTATATTCTTATTTTCTTACCAACTAACATATCCAACAAGAATTTTTAAAAGCAAGATTATATTGTGTTTCAAGAACACCTGGGTAGGAACTAAAAGTAAAGAAATTTTTATTCTTGAGAAAAATTTTAACACATAAAATATGGCAGTAATGTGTTAATTATATACTTATTCTGTACTGAAAAACACATGATGTTTACAAAATTGTGTACAAATTTCACCCAACTTAAGGTATATACATGGTAGAAGAAATTATCTGCTGGTAAATACAGTCCTTTTACACTATTACACTTCTGACCACTAACTGGAGCCTTAGATCTGATCCTGGAACAAAGAGTACTCTAGAGAACACATTAAACATATCCTACAACTAGCAGAAACAAAATATTATCAATGCAGGGGTGCAAAATCATCACTCTTACTTAGAAAAGGAATTTCTCTCATGAATTTAAAAAATTTTAGTTTTTGCTTCATGTTCTAGCAGTACTATGCTAACAATACTTTAGTTTTCATTAAATTAGTTTGATCCATACAAAATATTTGGAAACTTTAACAGTGCAAAAAGAATACGCAATACATAAACAAAAAATTATAATAGAAAATCTAAATGTTCTTATTACTATTTCCACACATTCTGTCTACAGAATTGCCCTGTCTTACTTTACAGGACAGTTTGGAACTCTGACTTCTCATGAGAACCTTCAACTTATCACCAGTTTTCAACATGGAAGAACCTATTTATTACAAATTTATTTGGGGAGCTACATCAAATATTTGGGATCACGTATAAACTTTTTGATCCCCTGAAAACTTGGTTATCAGAATTCCTGAGTGTGGCAAAGCCCTATTTTTGTTTTAAAGGTTTTTAGCTATAAAAGAAAAATCAAAATGTAGCAATACTCAGAAATCATACAGATTTCCCACACACTATGGGAGGCCAAAAATTATTCAGAATAAAAATGCAATCAACAGTATTAAGATTCATTGCTTATCTTTTGAATTCCTGGTATTTGTATAGCATTTTTTGGAGTGTATGTTTTTACATTCCAATTCTTATTAGCGCATCATAAAATTTCTCTGCAATGGGCAGAATCCCTTTGCATTTTAGATAAGACGCTAAAGTTCAGAGAAGTTATGATTTGCCTAAGGTAACACAGAACTAGACTTCCAGGCTCTCAGGTCCAGCACACATTCTATTCTATTTTAGTATGCTGTTTCACAGAAATTTTCTTATAATACTCCCTTTTAGAGAAGAATCTTTACTTAAAAATTTCATTAGTATTTTCTGATTTTTAGCTAAAACATAACCTAATCATACTGAAGATACTTATATTTAATTCTGAAAGTATCACTTGGAGTAGTTTTCTTTAAAAGTTTGTAATAATGCAATGCAACAGAGTATTACATTTTGAAAATACAGTTTGGAAAAAGTAAGCTATTAAATTTTATATTCATATTTAATTACTAAGAAAATGTAATGAGCCAAGTAGTTTTATTACTAACTATATTAGGTCACGATACCTGCAGAAGTTGGTGGGAATCACAATAGCATATCCAACAGACGTTCCTCCTAAACAGTTACCCAGTTCATGGAAGAGCCCATGAGCCATGGATTCCAATGGCAAAACAATGAGAAACATGCTCAAGAAAATCCCATTTGTTGGCTAAAAGAAATTCAAAACAACATGTTTACATAGTATGTGCAGGTATGTAATTTGTATACATGTATATTGTTTCACATTTTTATCCTACTTCCAAGAATAAAAAGGTTAATAATCTAAAAACAATTTTAAGTTAAAGTAGGTATGTGTACATGAATAAGCTAACCAGTACAATGAACTTTGAACTTCTTGGAAGATTGTGGCAGAATGTGGCATGTATTTTTTTAATTTGTGAAGTAACATCCCACCCAAACTGAAAACAAAAACAGCTCTTTGATGTATCATAAAAAGGGCCAAAAACATCTTATTAAAGCCAAATGCTTTATGTCATTTTTCAAATAACATCTTTATTACTTTATCAGAAAGGTACTTTAGAAAGGACTTATATTTTTTTTCTGTGAAAACAGTCCAGAAATTATCAGAATAAAATCTTAAGGAAATATAAGACCCTAAGAAAATGAACTCTATTTTTATAATACTTTATCTTTGAAAAGCCCTATACTCCCTGTAAAGTCTAAATTCAAAATTGTAACAAAAAAAATTAAAAGGGACTATTAGGAAATTTAAACATCCTAAAAGTAGAATGGAAAATAGGGAGACAAAAGAAATATTAAAAGGAGGCAACATTAATTGCAATTTAAAAAGCAGAAGAAAATTAAAGGACCCATTTAAGTGAAAAGGAAATGGAAAGATGATAGTCACTCAGTAATGAACTGTATACTGGTACCACTCCACATTCTCTTTGTATTGCTGCTACACAAACCATTTGCCTATACGCATGAATACATCTTCAACACTGAGTGGTTCATCTGATCAAAACTTTATTAAAATTTTGATAAGAGATTCCGTCAACTGCAAAAAAATGGATATGTTCCCCTATTTTGGTACATTCTATTTTATTGGTTATATAATATACATTACAATTATACAGTTACACATTTAGTATAAAACATGATATATAACTATGTAATATACATGCTCAATTTAGAAACATTGAAGAATGAGTAAAACATGATTAAAATCATTCTAGCACCATCATCCACATATAGCTACTTTTTGAAATAGTTCCAGACTTCTTTCAATATATAATCACAAATATACACTCATATGTATATATAGTTATATGTAGCTTTTACCAAAGTAGTAATACATAATATTCTATAGTTTTTAAATATAATGTAAAACTATTAACATAATTATAAACCATTTGTAAAGATCAAATGACATTCTCTTTATTCATAATTAGACTGCTTACAATTTACTGCTTTTATAAACAAAATTATCATCAAGTAAGTTCTCAATTTTTTTGGCAGTACTGAGGTCTGAACTCAGGGCTTCTAACTTGGTAGGCAGGCTCTACAATTCAAGCCATACTCCCATCCCTTGTTTATTTTTCTGGATAGTATCTTAAGTTTTTGCATGGGGCTGGCCTTGGACTGTAATCCTCCTACTTGTGCCTCCCGTGTAGCTGAGATTACAGGTGTGTACCAGTACACCCGACCATAAATTCTCTGATTATTTAGTGAGTTTAAATACCTTTGATCATTTGGGCTTCTGGAAACAAGGGCCTTGCCAAATGCAAAGTAAGTGCTCTACTACAACTATGCTCTTGACCCTTTCTTTTTATTTTGAGATAGAATCTCACTAACTCTAACTCAAACTTGAGATCTTCTTGCTTCATCTCTGAATGGCTAGGATTACAGGCCTAAGACACCATGCCTGGCTAGCATTAAGTTATTAATTGTATTGTAGTCATTTTGCGCCTTGGTCAATAAACCCCTCTCTACTCAAAAGTCAAGACGTTTACATTATCTTCAAAAAGACTTTATAATCTCAATGTAATTGATTTTTGTTTGTGATTCTGGCTCATTTTCACTTTTTTCCTATGTGAAAACCCAATTATCCAAACACCAATTGCTAAAAATGTCAATCACTCCACATCACTCTATGGTGCCATCTTTATTATAAATCGAGCATTATTCTCTCTTCTGTCCTCTTGGTCTGTCTGTCTGTCCTTTAAATATTTCCTTTAGCCTTTACTTCCCCCCTTTTTTCCTGGGACTTAACACTGGTGAACTATCCTCACTATATCTTCTTTGAATACTGCCCTTTCTTTTGTATTTTCCAAACATTTTTCCTCTTCCGTGCTCCTTCTTATACAGCTTCTTCTGAACTATATTCTCTGGTTCACTTTGTCTAATCTACTGTTAAGCTTGAAACTGAATTAATTTCAGGTATGTTCTTATTCTACAACTGTTTAGTTCTCTTACAAATCTGCCTTCTTACTTTTCATAGTTCCCAACTATTATGTACTGATCCTTGATTTTATTTTTTCGACCTAGTAATAAGTTGAAATAGTATGTTAGATAATTCCAGTATCTCAAAACCTTTTCTGCTTTTCTGTTGGTTCTGTTGTCTTTTCTGCTGCATCTTGTGCTTAGTGCCAAATACATACACGTTTATATTTATTAGCTGAACACTAAATATATATAAAACAAAATCAAATTACATTATTCATTTTAGGCATACGATAATACCTCCTAGAAAGGATTTTTGTGATTGCTTCTCCAAAGAGCTGGGCACGTTGGTCATCTACTTATCTTAGTACAAGTTTGACCATTTAATCCAGGTTGGACCACTAATAGGACATAAATCTGGGGTGCAAATCCAGAATGTAATACGCATGGCTCCAACCTTTTCTTTCAATGCATCACTTAAAATCAGATGTAACTCACCAGAGATCCCACTTATGGAGGCCCTAGACTTTGTTTCTTGCTCCTCCTAAGGGAACTAGAAGTACGGCTCAGCTTTTAAAAAATATTGCTGTACAAAAACAAATAGGGAAAGGCATGGGGTTGCAGTTCCCTATTCAACAAGATGCGGTATGTTTTCCTATTTATTCAAATCCTCATGTTGGGGAAGCAGAGGCAGAAGGACCATGAGCTTAAGGTAAGGCTCAAGATCTATATAGTGAGATCCTAACTCAAGAAACAAAAGAAGTTTATTGTGTTCTTCATTCATGAAAAAAACAACTGACCATTTTAGAAAAAAAAAAATTACTCTTTACAATAGTTTCAATGTATACTCCCAAAAGCATGTGTTAGAAACTTAGTTCTCAATGTAACGGTATTAGAAAGTGGGGTCTAATTGCAGGTATTTGGGTTGTGAGGGCAGAGTCCATATGGATTAATGTTGATTATAAAAGAGCTTGAGGCTGTGAGGTGTATCTCTTAGCCACCATCTCTCTCTTTTCTCTCCTTCCTTCTTTTCACCATGGAATGATACAGCAAGGTCTGATCAAATCTCAACACCTTGATATTGGACTTTCCAACCTTAGGAACTGTGATAAAATTTCATTTCTTTATAGATTGCCCAGTCTATAGTATTATTACAGCAATACAAAATAGACTAAGACATTGTGTTTCATAGTTTCATAACTTCAAAAGAGTAATCCCCCTTTTCATCTAGACTAAAATGGCTCAAAACTTTAGAATTAGAGAAAGAAATAAAACAAAAGGCAAACTATGAAAATGAGCAGTTCTAGTTCTTCAGCAGATTTAAAAACTCCCTGCTCCCCATGCCAAATGAAGTAATATGGCTGTCCTGCCATCTTGCTAGAAATGAAACTGTGCTGCATCTGCGGATGTGAGGCTGAAATTAAGACATCTGTTATATCGAGTGATTGCCACTCCTTCCCCTACAAAGAAATCAGCTATGATTATGGTTTTCTAGTTTGGGTCAAAAGGGCTTCCACAAAAAGCTGCTTCAAACCCCCATGGAATCTGCAAATGACAATAGCTAGCAAGGAAAGGCATATAAAAATCTCATGTGAAAGATTTCAGAGAATTTCTAAATATAAGAAAATGCCACGGAGCATGTTTCCTTAAGTATCTGGATACTTTCTCCCCTTTTATCCTTTTGTGAATTATCAGTTTGCTAAACAGCATAACTATTCTCAAATGCTCTGGTACTATGTCTTTCTAATTGACTTACTTAAAGAAAAAAGTTTAAAAGAGGAAAGAAAATGGCATATTCAGTGAACATAATACAAATTGTAGGAAACAACAGCTGTAATGTTGCATTTTAAAGTCAAAATGAGATTATGAACAAAAACACAACAGAAGTTAATGTAAAATTCTAGCTTTTTAATGTAAATGACTTGGAATGATACTATTGACTCATTCTGACAATATTAAACTCAACTTGGTAAAACTAACAAAAAAACAAAGCAATTCATATGCAGTTAGGCAAAGATTTAGTTATGACATTAAAAAATTCACAACAGTAATTGATAAATTGTAGTATATCATTTCTATTTTCATTAGTCTTGCCCATGGCTAACAAACTGATCTACTCATAAGACTTAAGTCATCATTTTTTTTCTTTCTCACATTTCTTTCCCTCATTGCATCTGCCCCCTACCCCAATCAGTGGAAAAGTTTTTCCACTGGAAATCTACTGAAGGGTATGTGGAGATGGGGCAGTGAAAGAAACCAGATTAGCACTTTAAGATTAATCTTACAGAAATGTGACAATGGATTTGGATAAATTATTTTAAATGTTAATCAGTATTGATATCATTTAGAAATGTTGAGTAATAATAGTTCAATATAAAAATCAGTTAAAATCCAATTTAAAGAATATGAGATGGCTCTTAGAATTTACTTGGATTAACAAGGATGTTATCATCCCCCAAACAATCTTGTCCTAACAATGTTCTTAATTATTTGCCTTTCACTATATAATTTTCTAATTCATCATTCAAAAGGATTGAAACTTATATGTAAGTCCAGTGGATGCTTCCCAAATTATGTTGCATACAGAAGTTATACTTCATCTTAGGGAAAAGTCAGAGAAGAGATCACTCAGATTAAGAGGTGTATTGCTAGGAAGTGGGTAACAGGATTAATGAGGGTTAGAGGAAAAGATTTCATGGTCAAGTAAGTTTGGAAATGTTTGACTTTCTGTATTTCTTTCACCACTTTTTGTGTCTGTGTACATTCATTAACATCTCACAGAACACTGAGCAGAATAGGGCTTGGGAAATCTTTTTACAAGATATTAGTTAATTAAATTAAACTTTAAAAATAACCTAATTGCCTGCAAGGCACAATGCCAACAGTCCAAGCAGCATTTGCCAAGTAGCAACTAACTGGGGAATGTAGACAAACTCAGGTATTCACATTAGTCTAAATAGCTAAATTAATAAAGCACTCAACAGGTACACTGCTAACCAGGAGTTTTTACATCACCTTGAAGATTTTTAGAAATGCAGTCTCAGGCTCTTTCCCAAAATTAGTGAACTCTAGTCTTCAGAATTTTAAGACTAGAGAAACACTGGTCAAAGACAAGGGTTGGCAAACTTTTTCTGTAAATTGCCAGATAGTTAATATTTTAAGCTTTGCAGGCAGTAGGATCTATGTTGAAACTACTAAATTATGCCATTTATCATGATAATAACCATTTTTTAAGGAGATTTAACATCTATTCCCACATGTGGGCTTCAAATACACGAGGCAAAAAAAAAAAAAAAGACAACTGAGAGAGGAAATAGACAATTCAGGAATTACAATGGAAATTTTAATCTTCCCTCTGTCAGTATTCATAGAACTAGACAGAAAATCTGCAGGGATCCAGATATATGAACAACACTACCCACCAACTTGACCAAGCTGATATTTATAGTATGCTCTGCTCAACAACACAGAACTCAATTCTTTTCAAGTGAAGACAGACTAAACCACGTGCGAGGCCATAAAACAAGTCTTAATTAAAAGACCAAAATATACAGTTTATGTTAAACTATGTTATCCACAGAGATAAATTAGAAATCAACAAAAAAATTTGTTGGGAAATCCCCAAATATTAGGATATCAGACAATAAAATTATAAATAACCTATAGGTTAAAGAAGTTCTTTAACTGTCTGACTTTAAGGCAGACATACAGATCAGTAAAACAAAACAGCTCAGCAGTAAAATATCACATTTATATTTAATTAATTTATAAAAGAATGCTGAAGCAATTCAGTAGGGGAAAGGTTAGTGTTTTCAACAAATGATGCTAGAGTAATTAGATAGCCACATAAAAAATTAAGATCCTTACCTCATACCAGAAACAAAAACTCAAAATAATCATACACCTAAATGTAAAGCTAAAATGATAAAGCTTCTAAAGAAAATATAGGAGAAAAATCTTTGTGCCCTAGAGCAGAGCCAAGATTTCTTAGATAAGATACTGAAAGCTCAATCCACAATAGAGTTGGTAAACTGGACTTTATAAAAAAATGTTTATTCTTCAAAAAGCATCAAGAAAAAAAGTTAAGCCAGAGACTAAGAGAAAACATTTCCAAATCATTTATCTGATAAAGGACTTGTACACAGAATATATAAATAACTCTTAAACCTAAAAACAGCTGGGCGCTGGTGGTTCACGCCTGTAATCCTAGCTACTCAGGAGGCAGAGACCAGGAGGATCACTGTTTGAAGCCAGCCTAGACAAATATAGTTCATGAGACCCTATCTCGAAAAAAACCTAACACAAAAAAGGAGCGGTGGAGTGGCTCAAGATATAGGCCCTGAGTTCAAACCCCAATTCCACAAAAAAGAAAAAAAAAAAACACTAAAAACAAATAACACAATTTAAAAATGGGCAAAAGATTTGAAAGATATTTCAATAACAAAAATAAGTAAATGGCTAATACACATATTAAAAGATACTCATTTGTCATTAGAGACATGCAAATTAAAACCTTTATCAGATACCAGTCCAGGGCTAAATTGATCAACTTTAGAAAAAAGTAGAATAGAAGGAGACAATCCGGAAATTGATTCTCTTGAATTATCTTTATGGATATACTCCTTGGAAAGGCTGTGTGTATCTCCAACAATACATGTACTCCACTTGGAGACCACTGATACATGAAAGGGAAGAATATGGCGATCAAGAAAGTATGTAAGCTTTGGTTTACAGGATTTGTTGATGTGGAAGGTGTCCTGAATGAAAGAGGCTGATTTGGAAAAGGAAAAGTAGTTATAGCTAGGAAAGGTGCTAACCCAGAGATGAGAGAAAGAGGGAGGAAAATTCTTGCTGGGGTTTCTGACATCATAATTCTGACAGTCCCTAGCACTGGCAAGTTGAACAAAGTGAGGCAGCTATCCTCAGGCAACACCCAAGCTGTTTTATATTTTGGTTGACTTCCCCACAGGCTCCCTGCCCCAGCCCACATTGACTACAAAGCACCATGCCCAGGCAAGTCTCCATATCACCTTTTAACACTCACATCTAGAAATCATGCTGCAGTAACAAACTGGTAACAAAGCAAAGAACTCTACTAAGCACAGCTTACCTTCCTTTACACACCAGATACCAGCCTGAGGTACTCAAATTATAGCATCTGTCACTGAAATTATTTGTTTATATGCCATTCTCTTCTTCCTCCCATTACAGACTGTTCCTTCTTTAAGGACAGACAATCCTGAGGTCTTTAACACCCACTACACTGCCTTGGTTTACAGTGCATAGTCAATAAACACACAAAAGAAAAGTCTGGGAGCTGGAGAATGACGTTCAGTGGAAAAATGCTTGCCTGGCATGTGTAAGGCCCTGGGCTTGATTCCCAACACCTCCAAAAAGGAAGTGTGTGGGGTCTAATACTGTTGATACAGTATATACAAATTTCAACTGTCTGGTATGAATGTCTATTCATGACTTTTTAAAAAAACACTTGAGGGCAGCAAATGTACTGTAAAACCCATTTTTCCTTTTTTTAAGAGATTTTCTATAATTAAGAATTTGATAAGGTACCTAATCCTCTTTTGTGTAAAATTTCAGAGAAATGGTGCATAAAAGAAATGTGCTATACTGAGGCCAGGGACTAGACAGAACATAACTGGTTTGGGCTACAATCAGTGACTCTGGATATGTCTTCTCTAGCTTTCAGTTTCCTCATGGGTAAAGGAAAGGACTTAAGTATAAAGTCCAAAAATTCTTCAAATGGTAGTGTTCTAAGAATCTGCAATCAATGAATGTTTCCCTAGTGAACAATCAGGAAGTGGGAAGAATGTCACATATTGAGTATTTCTAAAAAATTGGTGCCGCTATGCTACAGATCAATTATCTTGTCACAATGCATTCAGTGCTATGATTCCTTGAACACAGGCAAAGAAGCAGCAAAAAGAATCTCTTTTTGAAATCAAGAACTTGACCTTACAATCCTAATTTCAACTTTTTTTTTTTTTTTGGTACTGGAGGTTGAACTCAGGGCTTCCTAGGTAGGCACTATACCACCTGAGCTATGCCACCAGTCCTTTTTCCATCATTTTTGAGACAGGGTCTTGCTTTATGCCCTAGCCACCAACCTGGACTGTAATTCTCCTATTTACGCTTCATTGCATACCTAGAATGACAGGCACGCACCTCAGTGCACAACCACAGATTGAGGTAGGCTCTTGCAACTGCAATCCTCCTGATCTCTGCTTTCCAAGTAGCTAGGATTACAAGCTTGAACAATTATGCTGGCTCCTAATTTCAACTCTTGAAACTAACATTTTTAATCACATATCACAGGCACTGACATAATAATAAAAAAAAAAAATAAGCTTACCTGCCAGGAAACTGCTCCCAAAATTGTTGTTGCAAGAAGACTAAAAAAAACTAACTGCTCTGAAATTAAACAAAAATGCCGCATCCCTTTGGATGCCATGATTCTGTCGAGGCTATTGTTATCTGCCCTGTGAGTAAAATATACTTTGTGGCAGTCATTTAATTTGGTATGGAATCCCCAAAGAGTTAAGAGAAAAATAATATGGCAAATCATCCAGAAAATTCCAAAAATGGAAAAGCCTGGTATTACAAAATACCAGAGATGAGTGTCCCTAAGTTTAAATGCTGAAAGAATAAAAAATGTAAGCTCAATCATTCCACTGAAAACAACTGAAAGTCTTCTGCAAATTTTTCCACGGTACAGAAAGGGTTTCCACCTTTCTGTGACTGAAAGTCCACTAAAATAAATGTCAAGGAAAGGATCAGTAATCAGACAAATAAAAAAACATGCAAAAGCAACTGGATTTTTGGGAGTTTCCAATGAGGAAAAAAATAATAATACTGCAAAAATAACTAAGTTTGGAATAGCTAGGAAAGACTTCATTCTCAGATCAATAATCAACATGGCCAAAGCTACAACAAGTAAAATGACACTCAGAGACTTCTCTACCAACATAGTTGTGCTGGCAATGGCAAATCCAACAAGTTCCAGAAATTCCACTGTAGTTAGTAATGTGGGTCGATGACGGACATAACCAGAAATTCTCTCCACCAAAGCACATAATATTCTTAATACTATGGAAGTCAGAAGCAGATATTTGGTTGACTCTTCTTTCACATCATTTTTAAAGGATGAATTATCAAGGAAACATAGAAGGCCGAGCAAGAATCCAAACCAAAGATTGGAAAGACTTAAACTTGCGGCTTCCATTGAAAAATAATAGTAGAGTATGCTGGCAATTCCAAGAACAAAAAGGCCAAGAATAAAAATGACCAAAATTAAGGAATTTGCTGTTTTCTCCCATCTTACATAAAGACCTAAACATATAGCCACCAGCAAGTTGATTCTGGCTAAATAGCCAAGGTACCGCACTGAAGAATGCATGTTCACTTCTCTATTTACTTCTTCCAGTCTTGTCATTGCTAGGTAGAGACAATGACTAAAGCAATAACGCAGTGATTTACACATGTAATCTGGCAATTTAGGCTTTTTCCTGTTACAAAATTTGACGTCTTGTATTTTGTCAACAAATCCAAGGTATCAGTAACTCCTATTCCAACATTTTCTCAGAAGTTTTCTTTATAGTGATCTGAAAAGAAAAAATATTTCAACATTAATTTTATACAATATTTTGTCATTTTCTTTATATAAAATAAGGGAAAAATAAAGGTTCTTCTGAAACCCAATTTAAAATATGATTTGCATATATCTTACTGGTAACTGTTTCTGGCTTTAAAGCTCTACAGTTTATTCAAAGGAACATGCCTGCACTTTCTACCCATCTTGCTAAAATTGCATGACTAAATTACCATCAATGGAGCTGTCCTCCAGAGATGAAGAATTTAACAAATCCACTCTATTTCAATGTTCAATTGGACTTTAGTTATGGCACATGGCTTTGGTAAAATGGAAAGTTACTCATCTCTTAAATGGAATCAGGGACTTCATCGGTACATCTAATTTAATAATTTAGCAATTTATCCATTATGCAGAGATAGCAACTAATACTACCTACCTAAAATCCCTGACATCTTTTTATAAGGCAGACCTAAAATACTATAAAGTCTTAGTCTTTACACTGTTCAACGAATAAACCTAACTAGAATTAAATTTTAGTTTCATTAAAGTTACTCAGTCCCTAAAGTTGAGCCATAATTCTCCCTGTACTTTCACCTCTACTAAAATAAATTACATTGATTACCAAATTTACTTTCCAAAGCTAAATACTATCTCTGCAGCAAACCAATTCCAGAACTTTTTAGACAGAATCAAAAAATTGGGATGCTGACCAAGAGTCATGATAAAGTAAATGAAGAACTTTTCCAATCCTACCTTTAAAAAAAATAAGTTACTACAACAACTATTTGTTAAAATATCCAGATAATTATTTCAACATTTAAGTACCCCTACAAATTAGTGGTTAAAAAAATTATCACAAAATAGTGGTTAAAAAAATTACCACAAAATACTTGTTAAAAAAAAAAATTCAAACATCCTCTAGATGATTCTTCAAAATTTTCTAGTACTCTGCTGTAAGAATTTACCTGTTGCAGTGGCTTATGGTTAGGCAATATTCAAGAAGAATTCAAATGTTCAAAAGTAACTAGTCTGTAGGCTAAGGAAGTATGTCAGAGGCAGAAGGCTTGCTCAGCATACACAAGGCCCTGGGTTTGGTACCCAGCACCATAAACACACATACAAAGTAACTATACTGTGATCAGCTTACACTTAATAGCAGTACCCTAAAAGACCCACCAGAAACATGAGCTAACCTGGAATTAACCCCTAAATACTCATTTGGCTAGAGACCAATGTTACTAAAACAAACAACCATAAGGTCTCTAGGATGTTCCAAGTGTTATTAGTAATTCTACTTCCACATTTTCAACAAACATCTTTTTTATGACTAAATCTATTAATTGACTAAGTATTCCAACTGATTTTCCTCAATTAAATTTTCATTTAATCACTTCTTAAGATAACACACAACATTAAAGAAATATCTTCCTCTGGTATATTTTATCTTTTTATTTAAGTGTGAGAAGCTGATAAAATATGGAATGCACTCAAGTATTAGGTTTTTTGTAATATTATTTGTGTTATACAATCATTCAATAAATATGTTGAAATATATATCTTCAAAAGGCTGCTGGTACATACTAGGATCAAACTTCTACACACTACTGGAGGAAAAAATTCACAATATGCTAACAACAGCACTTTAAATTCAGGAAACATCCTTCTGTGTTTCCTGGTCAACACTCCCTCCCATTCTCTTATCCCCAAGGTCACCATCACACTTTTGGGATGCTTGAATGTCTCGTTAGTGCCCTCTGCCCTAAGTGTTTCTTTTAATACCAAAATTCATCAACAAGCTGTTATGCAAAACTCTCAAAACTCACCACCCTTAGCGATAAAGTAAACTCCTTACAATGGCTTATAACTCCACATTGGACCTGAGTAATTCTCCTGTCCCACTCTTCCTCTCACACTTTGTATTCTAGACATACTGACATTACAATTCTGATTTTCCTAAGTACTGTTCCCTCTCCAGGTACATTCCTTTCCCTCTTGCTGGTCCTACCTGTCCTTACATCTGACTTACTCCTACTCTTCAGGTCTTGGCTTAAATCATTTTCTTAGGAACATCAATCACCTCTGCCCCCACTACATGGTCCCTGCACTGCCTCTATCATAGAAAAATGTTCAATTGTCACTTGTCTAATGCCTGCATTCCTCACTGGTGCACAAGATCTCTGAGGGTTTGTCTCCATAATCTATATACAACGTCTTGCAGAAAGTCTGCTATCAAGTTGGTATTCAGCAACTACTTGTTGAAAAAATTTTTTAAACAGACTTAAACAGAAATAACTACATGTAATAATGCGAGGCAGTTACTAAAACACTTAATGCCCTAAGAAAATAAGTAACTAGTGTAGGGATATGCCACAGCTATTCATCAGCGGAACTGAAGGAGAATCGCACAATTCTTGGTTTCTCTTCCCACTTCACTCCAGCCTTCGTTTCATTTATCCAGTTTGCTCCAAACCGGTGAGCCGGGTCCCAGCTCCAGGCTACGCCTCAAGTCCTACACACTTTCCTCTAGGTCCCTGGAAATCTCTCTGCTTCCTCTAGGGAGGTGTCAGAGGCTGAGGGAGTTCTGGTCTCGGTTCTGGGTTCAGCACAGTCGCTGTCAGGCCCTTCCTAGGAGGGGAGTGACCCTGCGACACTAACCGCCTCCGCAATGGCAGGCAGGGTCGGCTCGGCCCGCTCGGCCGGCCGCTAGCGCGGTGGGAGGTGGGCCGGGCCCCGGCTGCCCCCAGCACTGAACTCTGCGGGAGGGGACACAACGTGGCGCCGGCTGCCCGGGCACAGGAGACACCCCGCACCCTCCGCAGCGCTGAGCTGGTGTCCCCAGCCGGGCCCCGGCGGCCGGCGGGGCGGAGCCGGGGAGCCGTTCCCCCCTTCATGGCCCCCCTACCTAACCCGGCCGCCGTCGCCGACGCCGTCCACGGCTCCGAGGCCAAGAGGAGAACGAGGCCTTTGTTGCTGAGCCTTAGACTTGGAACTGGGCGGCGCCAGGCCAAGAGGAACGAGCGCACGAGGTCGCGCTCACAGGTACAGGCCAGTCTCGGTGGAAACTTTCTCCGTTAGCGGCCCGGCTGCGGCCGCCATGTTTCCGCCGCCGAATCCACGACGGTACGGAACGCGGCCGGGGCCAAACGGCGCACGCACTTCCTCCCGCGGGGCCGCCTCGGCCCGCCCCTCCTCGGCCGCGCGCCGCGCGCTCTCGTGCGCACTGCCGCGCACCAACCACACCTGCCCGGCCCAGACGCCAGTTCGCGCCGGGACCTGGGCTCTGCAGCCCAGAGCCGAAAGACCACCAAGAATCAGGCTCCTCGGTCACCGCCTCAGAGCACGGAAACTGGGGCAGCGCGGGGGAGGGGGTGGGATAAAGTGGGGGCCACGGCTGCACGTGGACTGTGAAGCCTGCAGGACTGCTTCTCTTTTAATATATACAGTTTATAACCTGGTCTGTGCTGCCCAGCTAACGCCCAAGCTCCGGCCCGCCTTCAAAGCCCGACTCTCCTGGTCCCAGCCTTCTTTTCTAATTAACTCTGCCATTAATTTACTGCTGGGGCATCTGTACTCCTCCCACACCTTTAACTCTCCCTGGTCCTGCGGGTCCTTCAACCTCCAGGGCTAGTGTTCATTTGTACTCTGAATTCACAGAGTAAACATGAGGTATTATTTGGAAGTACCATTTCACAATAGCTGTGTGGCCTGATAGTCCTGGAGTTTGAATCCTACTTGCAATCTCTACGGCAGCATCGGTAAAATGGTAAGGACACCTTCGCAAGGTTCTGAATATTGAATGAAACAGTATTTCCCCCACAGCCCCCTCCATAAAAGTAATGTTAAAATTCAGTGATACTTGTTAGAATGTGGTAAGTGAGGCTTTAGTGAAGACTATCACCATAAGTACAGGGACCAATGCAACACCATCTTGCAGTAGGGTGTAGAGATTAGGCTTCACTCAAAATACAGCATGGCCAAGTGAGAATTTAAAGCCAAGGAGCAGTGTGTGGGGTCAGTGGATGGAAAATTACAAAGACGAAACGTGTAAGGGGGTGAGGGGGTAGACTGACTAAAGGGACTTAATAGCATCCTTCCTGAAGAGGGCCAGGGTGACCACATGTCACATGGGGAATGGTGGGGGATGAGGAGCCTGATCAGAGGAAGGTGGCATTCTAGCTAAACTGAATTCAAAGGATCTTTTGCTAAAACTGAATTTTACAAGGGAGTGCAAAGTTGAACTAGGGAAAAGGTTTAGAAGCCTAACTAAAGTTTGGCCACACTGAAAACATGAGTTTCCAAAAGGCACTTCCTTCCTGCATGCCTTCTATTCCTACAACATTTTCTACTGCCTGTAACAATTACAGAGGTCAAATCTCAAAGCCCTAGTTTCTGCATGTGTAAATGAATGCTGATAACACCTATCTTAGAGGATTATTGTATGAATTTAGAAAGAATGTTTAAAAAATGCTTAACCTTTAGATGAGTTACCCCTTTAGGATAAAGCACAAAATCCTTAAATAGGGTCTATGGGTGTTACCTCAGAGGTAGAGCTTGCCTAGCATGCCTGAGTCTCTGGTTTCCAGCAAAGCCTTTAAAATAAGCCAAAATTTTAAATAAAGTCTGTACAAGTTGTGTACTCCAGTCCCCTTTCACCTTCAGTTTGAACTGCTACACACTCCCCAACTCAGCCCCCAAGCCTACTTTCATTTCCTCAAATGTGGGTACGTGTCCAGTTTTGCTTAACATTTAATTCTTTTAATCAACTTAGTGCAATGCCTCATAATAGAGTTGGCACTTAAATATTTGTAAAATAAAATGATCATATATTATGGACCCTCAACAATCACTAGCTTCTTCACTTATTTTGTGTTAATGTTGTCTATATATTTTCCTGTGTTCCCTAATATATTGTGAATTTCATCATTTTCATTTAATAAATGTTGGAGGATGCTGTGGACAGCACATCTACAGGGTTGAACCACTCTCAGATTCGGATTCTGCATATGTAGGTGAAAAGTTTGAGTTAGATTCTCTCTAGACATCTAATTCCAAATGCAACCACTACCCAACTCCCATATGTATAATTCCTACTGTGATACATGGCCATTACTTCCAATTCAATGTGTCTTTAGTGGGCAATCAAAATGCTGGTTGTTGTTTTGGATGTCCACCATCTGAAGCCCTCTTTCACATTTAGAGGATTCCCCCACCTTAGCAGTCTAGTGGTCAAAGATGAAATGCCAAATATTTGTTCAACCAATCACATGTACCAACTGGAAGCTAATAACTCAGAAAAGCAGCTAAAGAAAGTTACAGTTATTATTAGCTGCAGGCATGCAGAAGGTGGCATCTGGGTTGGTCATGAATGTGTTTGTTGTGGTGGCCTCTTGAATTCAGTATTAGCGGTGCAAAGATGCAAGATGTGTGTGTTTCACAAGGACATCCTGGAGCCCTCTTCCAATCAATCCTGGTATAGTCCATGTGAATTTTGGTGTAGCCAATCTATAAGTTTAGCCAGTCTCTGGTCATGTAGGACAGACCTTGATGGCCAGCAATACTTTGAGTGCCCCAATATACTCCAACAAATTTCTTTTTTTAATTTGTCAAAAGTTCAACATCTTTTTATTTACAGGGCTCTCAAAAGTTACAACCTCATTCCTTCATGATTTATCAAGATCTCAATGTACATAAAAGAAATATGCCAATTTAATTTATATGGGAGAGTCAGAGTTCAAGTTACTGAGTCAGAATGTCCAGGATCTGCTCAGGCTATGTATAGTAGCAGCACTGCTGCTCTCTAAGTGGGAACAGGCAGCTCCACTGTGTTGAAAACACCATCACCAGAGCCCACTCCACAGAGGCTTCATCTTTAGCATGTGCTGCTCACTGCCAAAAGCCATACTGTAATAAAGATCAACTTTTTCTACCACTGGAAATGCTCCTTAGAGGGAACTCTGTTTTTGTATTTGCTTACACAACTCCCTCCCTCCTTAAGGACAGTAACTCAGTGCTCCACACAACATCTGGAATATGGAAAGTGCTCCTAAGTGTTTGCTGGGTGAATGGATGGTGCATGCTAATAGCCAGACATCATAACTGTGAGACCTCTATGCCAAAAACAGGAAGAATGACAAAAGCTTATTGCCATGCCACCTACCTCTGTTCTAGGCCCCTGAAAAATAAGGTCTCACATGCCATACCTACTCTGAGTAGCCTGGGATCATAGTGTGTCTAATAAATTTCTTTTCTGCTAAAATTAGCTATATCTGTTTTCTGTTGCTTAGTACTACAACCCTCATTAAAAGTGTCTTTTCATCTTCTTCTTCAAACATGATCCTCTGCCTTGTGACCTTGAAACTATTTTGATGCTTATTATCTTGTATGTATACTTCAGAATATTTCAGTGAGATGTGTATATGTTTGAAAGTTAACTTTAATCTACACACTCTGGGGTGGGTAATTAGCATTTGAAAGACACTCATTAGGAATCTTCACTACAGAGCTGGATGCCAATATCACTATGTAAATCTGCACTGGAGATAAATTAATTAGCATAAAGAATGAGAAAGGATTTTTCACTGTGGAAATGAGCAGTGTTCCAGATATGTGGTCGCGTGGAATACTGTACCTCACTTCTGCCTTGGCAAGAATGTAGTGGAAGAATCTGCTGATTCTAAAGGACTGACACCTTTCAGAAGGACTCCCTGCATCTGGATTGCTCCTTATTACCTTGCCACAAAGTCCTGTTATGTACTACTTTTGTGTAAGCTTGCTGATAAATATTTGTGTAATAGCACTCAGTCTGAGACTTGTATTCATTGTAATTTACTATTTAGTAGTCAGGGAGGAGACAGCTCTCATCAATCTTTAGTTATTGAGACTATTGAGTTATTATTAAACCTCTGTTTAACAAAAGAACCTGACAATTGTGAACAACCAAATGTTGTTCATTTCCACCCACCCCATTTCTTTCATTTGTCATTTCCTTTCAATTTTCATGACCTCCACCCAGCTGAGGTCCGAATACCCAAACTACTTCAGAAACCTCTGACATGCTTGACATCTTGACTTCAGACTCATCCTAGTTTAATCCATTACATTGGCCCCTGATTGATGTTCTCAGAGCACCACTCTATGTCACTCCTGAGACTGAAACCAGTAACTTCTACAGTCTACAGAACAAATCCAAACTCTCTGGCCAGGAACTTGAAGTCCCCCAGGGCCTTACGTAAATTCTCCTTTCCCTGGTGCTACTTATCCTGAAATCAGGGTTAATTCTTGACATCTGGCACATTCACAGCCAAACACCTGGATGTAAACAGCCACCTGGGAACCACTTCAGTGGCAGGAGATTTCAGAATGTAGTTATTAATGTAATGCTCCTAATAGCTGGAACAGACATTCTTCAACACCTGATTCTATTCAGGCAAGGTCTATGTGCTCCAGGCCAGGAATTTCACCAAGAGGAGTTAGTTTAGACTAGTAATGCCTGTTGAAATGATAATTAAAAAAATCAAGAACAGGAGGATGGAGCAGCACTCACCATTCATAGAAGCTGATTCTATCATACATTTCAATCTTACATGGCCAGGAGCAACGCATGAGACCTATGTCATTTCTTCCCATGTTCTCTCTTGTTTTCCTCCTTTCTTATTTTAATTCTTCAACCCAGTCTTAGGGCAAAACTAACTCCAGTTCCTCAATTAGATAATTTCACTCAAATACTATGTAACACTTTAAGTTACAACGTGTTTTTACCTACACTATATAATCCTCAGAAAAATTCTTGATGTAAATATTTTTAACATCATTTTACAAATAAAGTAAGCAAGGTCCAGAGAAATTATATTATTCCAGGCCCTCATAACTAAGAGCAGGGACTTCAACCTCCGTCTGTTTTTTGGCTACAAGTTCTGGGCCACCAAGCAGAGCTTTCTGAAAGTCAACCACCTTTTGTGGAAGAAGACAGGTATTTTCCTCTCATCACTGTGCTCACACTAAGTAAGCAAAGTTAACTCTTGGTTACTTAGAATCATCTGTAAGATTTCTAACCTATACCCATACCAGGACCAGCCCATACCAATTAAGTTACTCT